CCTACAGCCAGCCCTTCGGACCCTTCAGTGTTCCCATCGAGCCCTTGATCACTGGTCTCGAGATACCCTTCGACCCCTCTCCGGGGCCCCTCAAACACCGCCCCGATTCGGGCCACTTATTGACACAGGACCGATGTTCGGCATGGTGGCCCTTACCGACACAGGAGCCCCTCATTGCGCCAGGGACCCCGAACATTTCAAATCGCGGACTCCGGGCTTGTTTCTGCTTGGAAAATAGGTATCGGGGGGGGGGGGGGGGGGGGCAGCCGAACATGGAGCCGACTGTTCGGTGTTCGTGGCCTTTGACCGACTCTGAGACACCCGCATTGCCCAAGGGGTTTCTAGAACAGTGCAAGAGGACCTCTGACTAATATTTCAGGTCACGGCCCTACGAGCCGCGATTCTTTATGTGATCTGCAGCCAGTCCTTCGGGCCCTTATGCCTTCGGGCCGGGCGTTGATGGTCTTCCGGCGAGCCGCCCAGGCCCCTCTTCGGGCCTGATCAAACACTTCCCTTGGTTGGCTCGGGGCCCTTGTGAGCACAGGACCCTCTGTTAGCCGCTTTGGGTCCCTGGCAGATCCAAGGCCCCCGACCAGTATAAACCACTAGCCCCGGCTTTATAGCTGTTTGGGAAGTGTGTCCTCAGGCCCATACCGACACGTAGCCGACCATGTGGTATGATGGTACCTGGCGACGTATAGGCCCATATCGACTTAGGGGGTCCCCAATCGGCGCAGAAGGCCCTCCGACCGTTATTTGAGGGTCCATCTTCTCAGGTCTGGCGCCCTGCATAAGACCCTGACCAGCCCTTTAAGCCCTTAGACTCTCCAATCGGGCCCTTGATCGTCGAGCCAGGGGGGCCTACTAGGCCCTTCGGACCTCCTCGAACACCGCCTCTGGCCGACTCGAGGCCCCTTGATAACACGGGGTCCCTGTCAGGCGTTGTGGGGCCCTGAGCAATGTAAATCGCTGGCTACGGTTTTATCCCTGCTTGGGAAATAGACCCTTAGACCCATGCCGCCACAGAGCCGGCTTTGCGTTACTGGTGGCGTATGACCGAAGTTTAGGTCCTTACCGACTCAGTGGGTCCCTGATCAGCGCGTAGGGCCCTCTGTTATGTCATGTCATTGAGGCTTTACGACGCACTCAGCTGCTGAGGTTATATGGCGTCGCCTGCCTCTCACGCTGGCAGGAAGGACGGGAACCGCGGGGAATCGAACCCTGGACATCCAGTTTCCCAGACGCGCATTGGTTAACGCAGATACATTAACCACTACACTACCGGCACCCCGCGGGGCTCTCTGGCTGGCATTGGAGTGTTCAGTCCAGCGGGCCGGGGCCCCTGAATAAGACCCCTGGCTGGCTTTTGTGCCGTTCGGGCACTCATAGACACATAGACTCTCATTAGTGCTGTGGCTCAAACTTAGTTCCAGGCCATCATCAAAATGCATGATCATATCAGCTTAAAACAATTATGCAACGCTCAAGAGATCCACAACATCTCTACCCTTATACATATATATGGCTCCCAAAAGCGGACTATATTCGTGGAGGATAGTTTTGTTGCTCCGAGCTTTATAAAGCTCGGAGGAGGAAAATCTGAAAAAAATCCATCAGTTGACGGTATTTTTTCATAAACCTGGCCTCTGCAATTTTCGTTTGACCTTTCGAACATGTAGCCGTTGATTGTTCGTAATAGCGGCAAAGCCACCAGTGATGGCAGCTGGTTTTGAGAAGTCTCGGAGGCCATTTTTTGCGAGTTGAATGTGTATCATGTCATCGGTCAGTGAACAAAAACTTATGGAGTGGGGTTGGACCGTCTCAAAATACGCCGTTTTTATCGGATGAGTTTCATTCACATTGTTTACCTGTAACGACCTGGTATTTCATGCGAAAACCGTGCAAATGCTCGCCCATACGATTACATCCTGATTATATTGTTTCTCACTTTGATGTCCAATCGCCACGCTCTGATCGTCAAAGTCGTAAGTCGTCTGGCCCATGCCCCAGGCAGCACGCGTCGTGGAGCGGCCCGTGTATCGGATGTTGTGGTGTGGGAGCTGACAGGACCGTGCTGCTGTTCTTATATATATATATATATATATATATATATATATATATATATATTTATATCCTCGTAGCCAGTTGGGGTCAGACCTCTCGGCTTAGCCGCCGACCTCGTGCAGCCCTTCGGGCAGTACCATGTATCGGGGGTCACAAGATGGAAGGTTTCATGATAGACCATTTCAATTTATTTGTGTTGGCCGCAACCGTACAAAGTGGTGGCAATTTCTGTCAGACGCTCCCATTTTGTTTTTGTTCTTTTTTGCTGAGCTTTGTTTATTCTTTACCCTGGAAACTGTATCGAAACGTCGAGCCTGGTCTTAACATACATATATTAATTTTTGCTTCCTAATGCCATACCACAAACCAGGATTCTGGATAAAAGACATCCAAAAATTTTAGGGGAAAACATACCCGTAATCGCTCTGCCCCCTCCCCCTCATGGAGAGAGGACAACCAAGGAGAGGACAACCTCTTTCTGAGGGGTGTTCGTGAATATGCAACTAGTTAAGACTACCAATGTCTTTTAGGCATGAACAGTTAAGATAAAATTATTATAATCACAGGATGGTGCTAAAAATAGGTAACGAGACAACAAGCAAAAGTAACACTATCACCAATCATACCAACGCTTTTCAGGTATCTAGGTTTGAGGAGCAGCCTGGCGGCGTCCTCATGTTTCTATATGACGGAATCAGAGCTGCCTGCCAATCGGCCTGATGTCATAACAAAACTGCCAGCTGACCTGTCCATTCTGGCGAGGCAAAAACCTGTGCACCTTGAAGCTCTGCCTACAGCTCGGCCAGATACATATTGTCATGCGTACAAAAGTCGTCGCGAGTGTAGTTGACCAAAATATTTATTTTTAGAAAAAACTTACGCTGATTAGCATTAAAAAGTAAATTTAGGTTTGCACAAAAATTCGAATGTGAGGACGCTGGCCTCACAGCATGTCTTGGGCTAAAGACTAACCAAGAACGAAATTCCGGTTACCCCAGCGCTGGAGCGCTGGACACGTGATTAGAGAACCCCGGTTCGAATCCTAGCAGCTTCAAAGAGAAAATTCTGGTCGCAACGCGTACATAACTGAGAGTCGAACAGCATGCGGACCCAGGACTCTATAATGCTCGACCGTGAGCGAATGATTAACTGGTCAAAACGTTATACATTTAAGAACACATTACGCGAGGACGATAGTCCGAGTAGGGGTCCCGCCCAAGCATAAGAGTCTAACGCAATGTTCAATACATTTAGCATGCGCCCGAGTGGCCGGTTGGATATCCTTCGCTTGGGTGAGGGATCAGTTTGACCTCCCCATGAGATATCAGGAACTAAGAGGGCTAGAAACACAAATTTTCAGGGTGTTTTTGCCTGTACCTGAACTCACTTAGGTCAGGGTTTGAGGTTCCTTGGTCAAATTTTCCTTCAACTTTGTTTTCAAATTATTCGAGCCTCCGAGCAAAACAAGGTTACACAAGGTTAATCCCCAGGTTGGTCTCAAAAGTGCACCAAGAACCTAGATACCAGTTCTAAGCAAAGGGTCACATGCTTCTTTAAAGTCAGTAACCTTGTTTGACCTTTTGAAGGTTACGGTGACCAGACTTATACGAGACCGCTTTGAGCTATGCGTTTAAATAAGCGGCAAAGATTACGCTACGCAGTACGTTTCTAAAGGAAAAACGTTGGCCTGAGTCATTTTAGGTCAGTTACCTTTTCCGACCTTTGAAAAGTCCATGGAAGATTATAATGCGGTTCCTGTTATCAATAAATTCGAAGTGAGCACCAAGGGCTACCCCATACAGCAAACCCCAACGTAATAAAACATATCGGTTTTGACCTTGGTCCAACCTTCAAAACTGCCCTTCGGCCAATAGACTTCGTTGATTCAATTATTGTGTTGCCTAAGAAAGCATCTCAGAGATGTGTAGCTTTGCCTAACACTCCGTTGTTGCATCAGATTGAACGATTCCTTAGCTATTGACTTCGCAGGATCCATGGCCCAACTTTGAGCCGTCGTAAGCCAAGACCTTACAGGCATCTAAATTTGTAATATGAAAGCATCCGTTATTCAATTGTCTACAGTTATGCAAAATTTGGCGCGGCTACGCCGCGCCGTTGGGAAACCATTCTGGAAAAACCTTCCGGGGGGGGGGGGGGGTTGAATTTGATCCCCCACCCGAGCGCATGTTCACAAACAAAACACACACACACACACACACACACACACACACAAACAAAACACACACACACACACACACACACACACACACACACACACACACACACACACACACACACACACACACACACACACACACACACCACACACACACAGGCGGAGGCACATCGTCTTACGTGACCCCTTTTCCATGAAACAAAATCAGGTGTGTCAGCCACATACCCGATTTTCTTCTCGGGGGGACAAATGTGAAATTCAACCTCAAACCCTGGGATTTTTGAACCAAATGTCCACAATATCGCGCAACATCTTATGTATACCTTAGGGCAGATAACTTAAGGGGTTAACTCAGGGGGAAGGGGACGGCTCTCTTGGCCTTTCCCTTCGCAACGTCTCCGGGTGTGTCAGTGCGTGAAGCTATGCAGTCCGGACATTGTTTATTCAAGCAGGGCCCTCAGAACTCTAACGAGAGTTTCTGCACTGTCCAAATGACATAAACACTGCCCATTGAAAGGCGCTAACCAATCAACATCAAATCACACTGTTTACCCTGGTCTGCTCGTTGCCGCGCCGTCAGTCCGCAGAGAAAAAGAACAGTAAGCGGTGAACGGGTGGAAGTAAGGTTTAGCTGAAACTTCCTCCCGCTTAATAGTTTTTGAACCATCTTGAGCATGTTTATCTGTACACAACAGGCTTTCTGTGAGCACCAACTTCTGTTTAATAATAACTCATAAGATCCCCGATGCGTTGGGTGGACTATTTAAGTGGAATTTCATTGATGCTGCATTTTGTTTCGAACAGACAAGACCGTTGATACGTACCTGGCGCAGACGGTAAAGAACTGTATACGAGAGATGGGCGTTCCTGCTGGGGCCGATCGTATCAAGGCTGTGGTGGAAAGTGGGGGGCGCCAATTTATCGCACTGCATATATCGGATGCATCGCGATAGGAATATTATGTGGAAGATGAATAGTCTTTCACAAACTAATGGTAAGTTTGCTCAATGGAATCATGCTCGTATTTGCTCTAACCACGTCGGATCTTATGTGGTTGGAAGTAAGGCGGTTGGTATTTTGATAGCGAAAGCGGTACTTTGTGCGATGTTGAGGACTTGGCCTGCTATATGACTGTTGAAATATCCAAAGGATGGGCGCTATATCTTATTTTTTCTTACAGCTCTCTGGATTTCAATGCATGTGGAGGGGACCATTGCTCAGTTACATCTCATAGCTGGTTTCCAGGTGGACGGCATATAACATTTTGTCGGTTGAATGCTGTTTTTCCTGCCAGTTATGTTAACTGATTGGTATTTGTAGAGGTAGAAACTTCTGCCAAATTCAAGCAAGGTGTTCAAACACAGTTTCTGTGTTTATTGCATTGATGTTGAAGCACAAAGTGAATTGTGGTTTCTGTTTGGTACCTGTGTCCAGTGTGATTGTGGTGTGTTTTACATTGGGAAGATTTTGTATGTGTTTGTAAGCATCATGTCCATAAAAATCAGTTTTATGCATCATTTTGCTGGGCTTACAACCAACATAAAGTCATCATTGGTATGTTTCCATAAGATATTTTGGATGTCAACCTCTTGGTGATGGCTGGTATCAGGTCTTTGAAGTTCACTCCATGGTTAAGTTCTTTCTGTTATGAATGAACCCTGAAAACACGTGTGTAGCTCTATTCTCAAGAAGCATCAGTGACTTTGAGTAGCAAACATCATATTTATATTCCTCTAATGTTGTCTCCCATGACATTATCTCTGTGTTTGGGTATCTACTGGTGCCTGCCTATCATGCCTTAGAAAGTCATGTCCAGCACAGTTTGGGTTTTGAAGTTGGCATGCCAGATGGTTGACAGAAGAACAAAGATGTGGATGTTTTATCATGTACAGCTCATCACAGCTGAGCTCAAATATCAATTTGTCTATCTATGGTATGTTTCTGGCATCATCTTTGACTGACTGCATCCAAGCTGAGGTCTCCTATTTTATGCATGTCCTGAAGAGTGTTCTCATAGGAAGTAAAAGTGCCAAAGGCCTGTTGTGTAGACCCCCAGGTCTGCATTTATTTTTCCCATTAGATGGGAAATAAAAAAACACATGGTATTCAGAGTATAATAGCATGCATCTTTGTATGGTTTTTAGTTACAGAATTTAGCAATTTGCACATTGAGCTCAGCACAATATTGACTTAATTTACTTTGGTCTAATGGCTTTGGGTTGTCTGAGTTTTGGTTGTGAGATGTGAGGTGTTCGTGCATGGTGGGTGCCAGATGCTGGTGCAAGTATGCAGATAACTTGTCCATCCTGCAAAAGTCAGTGTTTGAGGGGTAGGGTGAGGTGTGTGTGGTGTGCACAAGATGGGGTTTGATAGTTGGATGGGTGATAGCCATCAGTTGGTTGACAGGCTGAAAGGCTGGTTAGGCTGATTTGAGGCCAAAAGGCTGGTTAGGCTGATTTGTTGTTTCTGAAAACCGGGGTTTGTCCCTCATTCATTGTTGTTCTCTGTCCTTCCTATTTCACTGCTCATTATACACAACATCCATTTCTTTAATACAGCCCAGTGTATGTCTTCCAGCATATCATGGGCTGTTTCATCTGTCAGAACTGGATCGGGCTCAACACAAACAGGCATGTGCACACAGAAAGTAGAGCACAGAAGCGGCACAGGTTGAAGCAATGGCGCAGGCTCAGATTTCTAGAGCATCAGGCTCAGGGAAGGGAAAGTTGATCTGGACATCTGAATGGGAATGGGACAAAGGATATAGGGCCCAGACAGTGTTGGAAATTCCAAAAATTGTCCTGGTAGCAGAGGATACATTTTCTATAGTGGAGTACAAAATTATCTAAGTGCTGCAGGTCATTACAGCTTTATTTAGGTTATCCTTGGGAGGTAATAGCACAATGGGTGACTCAACAAAAGCACTACTTGTCATATACAGCAATTTATGTAAAAACACTTTAAATGAAAGGAAGCATCAGTATTAAACATGGCACACTGGAACAACATAGTCTCATACTCTGTACTATGAGACACGTGCATATACATTGGTTTGCAATTTATGAAAAGCTTTGCGTATACACCCTCCAAAGCGGAGACTGCGTACATATTAGGCTTATACACTCACCAAAATGGAGGGTGGCTGCACACCAGGCTTATACACCCTCCAAAAAGGAGGGTGGGTACAATATGCATAGCCAGACAAAAATGGTACACAAACAATGCAAATGAACATGCCACAGACAGCAAACCTACTTATGCTCCACCACAATTGTGCTACTCGCGCTCCACCAGCTGACTGGTTTTAAACACAGCTAGACATTCATGCCCTCCACCTTCCCACTCCGGGCAACGCACGAGGTCCTGCATGTTCCACCCGAACAATAGAGACATGCGGCACTCTTAAACGATTTACCGAGCCAGCGCAAGCACAATGCCTGACGGACCCGTGTAGGCCGGCCAAAAGGGATCAGAGTCAGTCACTTCGCTGACTCCGGCGGATAGTGCAAGGTATTAATGGATTTTGATGCGCTTTAAGTGATGTCATTGCGAAGTATGGTAATTTATGTTGCAATTCATTGATGTTTCTGTCCTAATAAACCCTTCTCCTTAATTTGCCGGGCCAAAGTTATGGGTTCATGTTACTCTGGTGTCCTGGTATTTTTGCGGGGACTGAGATGACTGTCTCCGAACAGTTTTTTGGCTATTTATAGCAATGGTTTTCGACTAAAATGGGCATTTTTGTAAAGCCTGAATTACCAGCTTAAATTTCATACCCTTAGGTGACAAATTTAACGTGGTTTAAATCCACAGCTGCCGTAACATTTTTGTACTCCGGATACCAGGAAGTGGCCAAAAATCCGTCCACATTGCAGTTCTGGATGAGTACAAACAAGTTCTTCTTCATAATCGTGATGCCCATCTCTAAACAGCTTCCCTCCAAATGTTTACAAATCTGTGCAAAGCATGATCGCGAACAGAATATTCATGCTCTTGACAAATCAGTCACTAGGAGGCGAATCATTAAACCCAATTGGAGAGTTTTGCTATGTTCAACCTCCAACCTGAGCTGGGAGGTGGGCGCAAGCCGCTGAATAGTCGAGACATTTCCGACGCCGAATTGCGAGTGATACTCTTATTTGCATTGCCATGACACAGCGGTGGCGCGTGGGTAGACGGCCGTCTGCGGTAGGTGATTGGGTGTGCGGTTTTCTATGAATGTTCGTTGCATCCTTGGCAATTAATGCGGTTTGTCGTCAATGGTAGGTTAAGTCATGTTCAAGTTTGGGCTGGCCTGCGTAGGGCATAGGAAGTGAGAGCTTTGCTAATCTGCAGACCGGTGCGATTCTGGTACGCTTTTCTCATTTCCCCATATTGTTCAAAGGCGATTCCATTAAACATTTTCACGCTATGTTTTTCACATTTTCGTACATGGTTTATCACATACCTAGGTATCCACAGGCTGCTTGCTATTGGGCATCTTAGTCTGGTGGGTGCAAGATTTGTGCTCTTGCAGATATCAATAAATGGCTCCTGATGGAAGCAGCAAGTCTTAAGCTGTTGCGCCCACTGGTTTTATTTTGTCCTTACACAAAGAGGTAAAATGAGTTTTTTCCGAAAGCTGTTCTTGTTTCATCATGATGGAGGACAAAATATTTCATTTTACCTAGTCACAATCCTGGAGTATAAATTCTCCTGGTATATATTATACCAAGAAACGTCAAGTTTTTCAACACTGGGCCCAGATGTGCTGCTTAGGCCCTAGCATAGGTACTCAGCCGTCCGTATTGACCTTGGGGCACTCATATATGAGACTGGACGACTAGGAGTTCCTGCATAAACAAAAACAAAACCCTGCATAAAGCATCTGGGACTCCATGCAGGGTTTTCACCATCTGTTTGTAGCATCGGAGCACAGCCGTGTGCCATGTCTCGTGGGGTGCGTGGTCCGACGCAGGGGGCAGATGGTGATTGTAGGGAGGTTGTTGTATGGACAGACATGGAGGAATCTGGGGTGTTCATCGACGATAGTTAGCACGTATTGATTCCGAGGAGTTTTACATGGCAAAGGTCATTTTTAGTCAACGTTGAGTCGTTCATATGGCAGCATAGCGTTATCAAGAGCGTTTTGGGTGGTCTAGCGTACTGTGATGTGTACTTAGCACAGACTGTGCAGGACGGTGGGATTTTCACGTCTTCTACTGAAAACGATAGGCTTCTGGAGCAGGCGAAGTGTCGTATTTGCAACACCTGGATGACTCCTGTTGTTGAGTTTCCTCAGGCTGTTGGTGTCCGCAACAGAGTATATCGCAGAGCGAGAAAGTTTGTCCACTGAGACAATGTCATCGCCGACGTGACGGGCTATCCGGTGCGCCACGCAATGGTATTCTTGTTTTTTAATGGTCCTGCTTGCTTGTCATAAACGTGAAGGTGACATCGCAAGCCCGTGATATGCATGGGCCATCGTCCCAAAAGGAAGTGCTTCCAGCAATGTCACGCGTCCATGATGGTACTGAATTCGTTCGCGACCGCATTGTGGTTTGGCACTCGGTTTTGACAGTGTTCGAGAGGTGAAAACTACAGGCATTCCACTGCAGTGCAGTACGACAATCGTACGCCAGAGGGCAGGACAGACTGTCAAGCAATGCAGCACGCTGAGCCTGCGCCGCAAAATGTCGCGGTTGGCCGGGGATTTCACGATCGGACGGTGGAGTCAGGGCCCACACAACAAGCGGTTGGGTCAGGGCCCACACAGCAGGCGGTGGGGTCAGGGCCGACGCAACAGGCGGTGGGGTCAGGGCCCACACAAGTGGTGGGGTCAGGGCCCACACAACAGACGGTGGGATCGGGGCCCACACAACAGGCGGTGGGGTCAGGGCCCACACAACAAGCAGTGGGGGTCAGGGCCCACGCAACAGGCGGTGGGGTCAGGGGCCACGCAACAAGCGGTGGGGTCAGGGCCCACACAACAAGCAGTGAGGGTCAGAGCCCACGCAACAGGCGGTGGGGTCAGGGCCCACACAACAAGCGGTTGGGTCAGGGCCCACACAACAAGCGGTGGGGTCAGGGCCGACGCAACAGGCGGTGGGGTCAGGGCTCACACAAATGGTGGGGTCAGGGCCCACACAACAGACGGTGGGATTGGGGCCCACACAACAGGCGGTGGGGTCAGGGCCCACACAATAGACGGTGGGGTCAGGGCCCACACAATAGACGGTGGGATCGGGGCCCACACAACAGACGGTGGGATTGGGGCCCACACAACAGACGGTGGGATCGGGGCCCACACAACAAACGGTGGGGTCAGGGCCCACACAATAGACGGTGGGATCGGGGCCCACACAACAGGCGGTGGGATCAGGGCCCACACAACAAGCGGTGGGGTCAGGGCCCACACAACAAGCGGGCGTGGGGGCTGCTCTCAGTGATCCGTCCAATCCAAATGCCGGGAGAGTTCCTTACAAAAAAAAAAAAAAATAGCACGGAAGAACCAGTCCTGCCCAAAGATGGGGATGGGGATGAGGGATGGGGGAGGGGGGGGGGGGTACTTACGGTACTTGAGACTTACGTTGGATGAGCTGGGATTTTTTAAGATCCCCAGGCAATGCCCCATGCACAGTGCCTACACACTGCCAGCGTACTGCACACGAACGAAACGACTGAAAATGTAGTACGTTAAGTATCCGTGGGCTCTCAATACTATTTGCCCGGGCGCCAGAAACAATGGTCATATATGCGTGCCGTACACATCCAGTCACAGGTGTGACCCTGCCCTGTGTGTGTTAAGTCCGGATGGGAATAAAGTGAACCCCAGTAAGCAAGTGAGACAGATGAGCACACTACTTTAGCGACGTACGTGCCTGTTGCTTTATATTGTTTCGAAGCAGTGAAGACGAGGTCAAGCCAGCGGGTGGCTGGTCAGTCGTTTTTGCATAACCCTTGCATGCAATGATGCAGATAAAAGCAATGTGTACTGTTACTTGAGCGTTGGTGCAGAAGAGGCCCTGCAATGTTTAAGTGTAGCCCGCCCATTGGATATGCTACCTTATCCATCACACCTGTTTTGTTCTGTATTGTAAGCCCTGTGTGTCTATCTAAAACAGTCATATTGCTGGTACACAACTTCTAATGTGGAACTCCATGGCTGGTTGTTCTCACAACTTGTGTATTGGGATCATATTGCTGACATTGTCCCAAGCTCTTGTGGTTTATAATGTATATTTTTCAAGTGTGAACTATTGTGTGTAAGTTTTCTCTCTTCATTTATTCCAGTCTGCATGGTATGAGAAGTGTGAATATTATGTTTTGAGAGTAATGCAGCAATGTGCCTTTCCAGGCATTATTTCTGACTTAAGCATTGAGAACTGAAGCCCAGAATGACCATTATATGAAGCATTGGTCAGCCAACATATCGGAAATGGAGATAGCTGCGGGTAAGGACTTTATTCAAAGCAGTTTTGCCCCTCGTGTGGGCTAGTGTGCATCGCCTGTTACACACTCCTGTGTAGTCCGGCATTTTACACTGCTATGGATTGAAATTCAACAGTGTTCTGTGACAGGTTAGGGGTGTAGGGGTTTGTTATTTTTTGTTGTCATTTATTTTATGCAATGATAACTTTAAGTATCAGTTCGGGTACAGACTCGAAACACCTGCTGATATGCTAGTCTGCTCCGTGTTTTTCGCCTGTCTCTGGTGTCTGTTCCATTGTAGCAATGAGCCTTTTTCTGGTATCGGGGCCTTTTTACCCTGGAAGATAGCAGAATCCGCCCGTCGCACCGCAGCCTCTCGCGCTGTGTCACCTCTGCTGGCTGACCTGTGCCGCGCCCGTTGTGACCCTGCTGACCCCGGTGACCGCCGGCTTGCAGAGCCGCGCCTCTGCCTGGACCTGAACGGGCGGACGGTGCGCAACAGCGAGCGCTACATCCCCGGCCCGGACGAGTGCACCGTGTGCACGTGCCACGACGGCGAGCAGGAGCGGTGCCAGTCGGTCATGTGCGCGCCGCCGCGGGTCAGTGGCGGCCGGCGGCGGCGCTGGGCACGCGCGTCGGCACCCCACGCCGGCGCGCATCCCCAGCGCCGCCGCGGGTCAGTGGCGGCCGGCGGCGGCGCTGGGGACGCGCGTCGGCACCCCACGCCGGCGCCAGGCCGCACCAAACCAGTTAGCCAGGCAGCCAAGTGGGCGCGGAATGCAGTAAAAGGCGTTACACTTCGAATGATTGGAAGCAAATGCATGATTTTGTCGGATGGAATGTGAAGCAATAGAAAGAGTCTGTTTGCATTAAAAAGAGTCAATTTATCTGGCTTTCTAGCCTCTTGAAGACTAGAAAGCCGGCATCGACAGGAAAGTATGGTCGCGAACACACGAGTCCATCTCGCTGACACGCATGTGTGTTTGCGATGATCGCACATGCCCTGTGGATGCCTTCTCTTCCGCAGCGGGCATTCAGTGACAGCTCGCTTCAGTGAGCCACCTACTCACATCGCCCGCGATAATGTCATCTCAGTGACGACCCCATGTCCTGCGCTGGAGATGGTCGCCTTCAGTGCCGGACCAGCCGCCGGTGCTCCCCTGCTTTACTGCCCCCTCCCCTCGTACTCTCGGGCTCCTCGGTGGCGTCTTGCCCCCTCTAGGGCGTGCCTCTAGCTCCAGCATGTGGCGAGACGCGCCGCTCATGTCGCTTGACCTGCTGTCTCTCGGCCCGCCCGCCAGGCGTGCCGCCAGTACCAGGTGGGCAAGACGTGCTGCGAGTTCATCTGCCTGGACGGCTCGGCCGGCGCGTCGCCGGTGACCCCGTACGGCGAGCGCGCCGGCACCGGCAAGGACCTGGGCCTGCGGCTGGTGGCGTCGGCCGTCACCGCCGTGCTCTCGCTGGCGCTGCTGCTGTTCCTGGTGTATCGGCTGCGGCAGCGGCGCCACAGAGGTGAGGCGTGGGGCGGGGCACGACAGGGAACGCTGGGCGACGTCATGGCGCGGGGTGGGGCGGCCGCGGAGAGGACGGCAAGAGGAACAGGAGGACACCCTGCTGGTGGTGGTCACTGACGCCTCTGGCATGCCAATGTTCCTGCTGTAGGTGTCTCGAACTGTGCTAACTTCCTAACTGATCTTAGCGTTTTTTTTAATGTTTTAGATAGTGATCATCTTTGGGTCAAAGCCGTCACCATCGTTCACAAGTACATAGCTCGGTCATCATATGTCGTGTGTAGACGTTTGCATAGTCGTTTTCAAATTCCAAACGTCTCTCTTGATCTTAAACTTGATCCTGCGTTCTCATGCGCAGGTATAGGTGGTCAGTGGTCTGACCATCTATACCCACGCATGTCTTTATTGCTGCCTGGTCTTGACTCACAGGGTCCTCTGTAGCGTATCAAAATTCACAACCCTTCGCCCCCCCCCCCCCCCCCGTCGCCTGCCTCGGACGCCACCGCGCGGCTGAAGGCATAGCGACGTGGACTTCTTGTCGGGGGTGGCATCACCCCGAGAGTAGTTCCTGAGGCCACCCCTCACGAGTTCAGCGGGTATTTTGTGAGAGTGGTCCCTCATGTCGCTGCTGAGGCTCAAGGCCGGGGGGGGGGGGGTCTTGAACTTAAATGGTGTCTATTCATCGTTGGCGTCCGTGCTTTTTCTCCAAGACCCAGGACTGTTGACTCTCTCCATCCTGTCCGCTTTCTCTGAAAAAGTTCAGGACCCTGTGGAGCAGTCGGGCTTGTTTCGAAATTATTGGCCACGTCATCCTTCACGTTCTCAGCATCAGTCTCATGTCCAGTGAGTTTACCGGTTCCTGGTAGCATTCCGTAGTGCATCCTATTTACAAGCCCCGAAAGCCCTTCAGATGCCTGGCTTCGGACACATTTCCATCGTTTCTTCTTCTGCCTTTTCAAAAGCTTGTTAAGAGAGTGTTGCGGTGACAGCTTTGCCCCTACATGGCTGAAAATAATTTCTTTCTCTCATCCCCGCACGGATTTCGCCTCCATCTCTCCACAGAAACCGCGGCTCCTGCCGTATCCTACCATATCCTTGCCGCTACTGACCGCCAGGAACTCACTCTTCTCTGGCCCATGGACCTTTGTAACTTATTTGGTGCGGTGGACCGCACAACCAAGTGCCCACCTCTAGCCCACCTCTAGGACCACTCCTCCTCCAGGTATTTGCCAACGACTCGTCCCTGTCTTGGAGTCTCTGAACATCTGGTTCCACTTCTATGGTCTGAAAAAGACTAGTGGAACGAAGCTCATTGTCTGTCGTTGCCATGAAATTTGTCGCGGCATGGGTCCCTTTACTCGGTTGGCGAGGAGGCAGTGCGTTAGGGCCCCATCGTGAGAAACCTCGGTATAGTGTTCGACAGGCACCTCGCCTCGGACTGTCACGTATCTGCCCTCGTCAAAGAGCGCAGCGGTGTCTTCATCAGGCTGTGCCGTGGCGTCATCAGATCCCGCCGGGCCCTCCGCCTACCCTGGCCGATACCGAGGCTTCTCACACCTCCGGTATTGCCTTGCCGTCTATGGCAACGGCTCGGAGAAGAGCACACCACACTTCCCAAAGATCCTGAACTGTGCCCTGCGCGCTGCCGCCGACCGTGTGTATGCCTGACTATGGTTAGGGTGTATAGTTCGTGTTTATACGTGAGCCGTTTTCAATGTATGTCTTTCGATGGACCCCTGTTAGATTGCTGCTACGAGTGTCCTTTCTAACATGTCTATCCTCTTAACCATACCGACTCGGCCCTCGAAATCGCCGTTTTATGTTGGAGAGTGTCTCATAAACGGGAATGCATATGCGCAGACATAGCACGCTGTGCATTACTGAATAAGCGTTCAATACAACTCCTGTGCACAGCAAGCTTACCGTATGCTCGGCCGTATGCGCTGCGACTCTGCCGCTACGCCTCTGGCCTCCCGTCAGCTGGCCGTCACTGACCTCCCTGTGTCCGCTCATACGGCCGGCTCCCGCCAGGGGCACCGTCGCTGCGCGCCGAGGAGGCGTACAACATGACCCTGATGAACTACCTTCGCGGCTCGGGCTACCTGGGCGGCCCGGCCGGCTGCCGCGGCTCGCACGAGTTCTACTACGAGGAGCCGCCGCCGCCCTACACGCTCTGGAAGGCGGCCGAGCCGGCCGGCGAGGCACCGCCACCGTACAGCGAGGCGGTGGCGCTGCCCGAACTGCGCGCCAGCGAGCGGCGCGCTCCCAGCGGTCGCCTCCACGCCGTGCTGGTGGTGGCGCCGCCGACCGACGCGCCACCGGAGCCTCCCGCTGCTGCTGTTGCTGCTGCTGCGGACGGCCGCCGGTCGCCGGTCATCACGCCCAGGTCAGTGGCCGTGCCCGACCAGGGTCGCGGTGTACTCGTGGTGTGGCGGCAGTTTGTCAGGTGTGGCGGCGGTTTGTCAGGTGTGGCGGCGGTTTGTCGGGTGTGGCGGCGGTTTGGCAGGTGTGGCGGCGGTTCGTCGGGTGTGTCGGCGGTTTGTCGGGTGTGGTGGCGGTTTGTCAGGTGTGGTGGCGGTTTGTTGGGTTTGGCGGCGGTTGTCGGGTGTGGCGGCGGTTTGTCGGGTGTGGCGGCGGTTTGTCGGGTGTGGCGGCGGTTTATCGGGTGTGGCGGCGGTTTGTCAGGTGTGGCGGCGGTTTGTCGGGTGTGGCGGCGGTTTGGTTGGGTGTGGCGGCGGTTTATCGGGTGTGGCGGCGGTTTGTCAGGTGTGGCTGCGCTTTGTCGGGTGTGGCGGCGGTTTGTCAGGCAGCAGGTGGTTCGATGTGGAACGTGAAGCAATGGTCATTGACGCTAACTTGGTCAGTTCCCACGCGGCTTTGGTGTGAAATTGGGACAGGCTTTACACCCGAGCGAAGCTTGGATTCGCAGCCTGTTACATCTCTGAGCCTGAACTACTGTTTTTTTTTTTTAACTTCTTGTTAGCGGCCTTCAGTGCTAAGGTCTGGGTCGTTCGTAGTAAACGCTGCGGTCATTATGTGGGTGGAAATACTCTTAGTTCCCAAGCGAGGAATGCCAACATGTGACCAACAACAATGTTCTGTGCCACAGCATGGCGCTTTTCACGCCTCTTCCCATGACTGCGGAACACTTCTTTCCTCCGTGCCATTGGCCAACAGCGGCGGCACACTGCAGGGCGTGTGTCTGTCAGTGCTCGCTTTGCGTAGGAGTCGCCCACGGGTGCAACCGTCGCCGCAGACAGTTGTGCTAGCCGTGCCTCCCCGGCGTGGCCCGTCCTCCCCGCTCTGCCCGCTTTGCCTGCTCTCCCTTCCCTTTATCAGCGCACCGAACCGCTCAAGACACGGGCTTTGCCACCGTTGATAGCATCCGACGACAGTTGACGTCCTTTGTGGGACACCGGACCCAGAGCTCGCGGTCTCCCGATCATGAGCTCGTCTTGTGTAACGGCCCGGCCGCGACCCAGGCAGACCACCGGCGCGGTCCCCTCCGGCTGATGCGCGCCCTGGCTGGCTGCTTTGATTTCGCCTCGTCAGGGATTGTGTCATATTATGCGATTTTTATCGGCACGACGCAAATAACCAATGCAATTGACGCGCCCTTAAAACTCAGCAACTAACTTAATCGACCTTGCAATCGTTATGTCCTCATCGCCGTCGCAGCCCCCACTGCCTGCCCCGACCTGACCCGACCCGACCCGACCCGACCCGACCCGATCCAACCCGACCTGACTTAACGTGACCCGCCACCGCAGACCGGAGCCGCGGGAGCCGGACGAGCGGGAGCCGAGGGAGCCGGGCCGGGAGCAGGTGCTGCAGCGGTTCAGCCTGCAGCTGGCTCTCGACTGTTCCGACTCTGGCAGCAGCTCCAGCCAGACGCTGACGCCGGAGGGCGCGCGAGCAGCCAGCGTCACCTCCAGCAGCACCGAGGCCAGCGCCTGAGGCGGCCGCCCCGAGCCCCGGCCGCTGCGCCGTAGCCGCCCGTCTCTGGAGGCGGAGCACGGCCGACCAGGTGGAAGCTGTGGGAACCGACAAAGCCGCGCCGGCGAGCTTCTGACGTCACTTGGTGACCGAGGCTTGCACGGGACGGTCCGATCCGCTTGCGGGAGAGGCCACGGGTCGGTGACCGCCGCTTCAAGACGGGGTGGTCACGGCGAGATGCTGGCCGGCCGGCAGTCGCGGAGGCAGCGCAGCGGCGGCGGCGGCGGCTCGCAGGTTGAGGTCACCGGTTCGTGTGGCGGGTGGCAGTACCGGGGGGGGGGGGGGGACTCGTAGCAGACAAGACTGCTGACAGCGGGCCGCAGCAGGACGGCGTGGTCGGCGTGCCGCGCGTGTCTGGGCCGGGGAGGACCCGGTGGCGCTTGGCAGCCAGGGACCCGCCCGCACTGTGTGCTGGCTGGCAGGACGCGGACGCCGCACGGTGGGGACGCCCGCGGGCGGTCAGCAGTGGCGCCACCTGGTCTGAGGGCAGGCCGGACGGTGGGCAGCGCCGCCGTGGCCGCCCCGCGACCTGAGCGAGTCGCTCCCGGTACCTGGTCGCTCTTGGACGGGCAGCGAAGGGGAGCTGGGCGTGAAGGCCCCGGCGAGAGGCTGTGTGGTGCGTCGCCGCCGCGCCACTACCTCGTTCATCGTTACATGGGCGTCGGGGCTTTTAGGGTTCGGCAGGTCCTTCCCTTTATCGACTGACCTATCCATGCCCGGTCGGTTTTCTTGCTAATTTTTAGACAGCATAGTGTTGTGCTCCAAAGCCACCATCTCATAATTGTTAGCAGTGTATGGATGTGAGCTCGCGCGTGTGAACCAAGCTGAGGTACACAAAGAAAAGTATTTTATCGGCCTTGACTTCTTGTCGGACGTTGTCTGCTCTTCGAAGGGTACAAATAATCTTCCCTCATAGCGAGTCTCACAGAAGTATGTACATGGACGGCCTTGTCGCGGAAGCACGTACGCTGCCCGAAGGCGACTTGTTCCCGTCTGGTCATCTAGATTTGTAGTATAAAGTTGTGTGGGTGTCGTGGTGTTCGAAGTTACTGGATCTGCCTGATGCCTGGTGGCTGCTGTCGTTCCGTATCGGCGTTTCCTGTTCACACCGCGCACGTGCAGCGTTCGCATGGCTTAGCTGACGTTCAGATGTGTTTTATACGTCTCCTGAACCCTCGAAGCGGGGAGTCTTGGAATCGTCAGTGTGGTTACACATTTCCAGAAGGACTGACCGTTGGATGAAGGCCGCCCGAACAGCCGTGGCGTGGGCTGTCGCCTATCATGCGGGCCAACGGTCTGCACGTCCTTCCTGTTTTTACCGCGGTGTAACGCAGTTGCAGCGTTTAATTCCATGATATTTTCGTAAGACAATGACAAGCGCCGCGGCTAGCGGTCTTGTGTATGTGTCGCTGCCATCGCACCGTTGTGTTTAGCGCCCTGTGTATGGCGCGCTGTTTTGTGCCCTGTTTTGCGCTGCCGAGCACCGCTGGACGAATTCCCCTCGATACACCTGTTGCCGGCTAGGGACTAGGCTGGACCGAGTTGGCGGTGGGGGCCGCTCGATTCGCTCCAGCATCGATCGCCCACGAGCGTCGGCCGTCCGCGGCGATGTCTCCGGTTGCCAGCGGTTGTTACAGGCACGCTGAGGGACGGCCACGGTGGCCTGCCGCCCGCTCGCCGATGTAACCGCCGCTCCCTCGACGCCCCGTGGCCCGCCGCGCGCGTGTCCGTGTGAGCCGTGCGGCCTCACGGGCTCGCCGCGGGACACGTCCGCGCTCGTGCGGCAGGTCCGTGGCCAATACAGTCGGGGGAGCGGTCACCGTGTGCTCGTCTTCGCGGACAACATACAGCGTGCGGCTCCGTCGTCACACGTCTCTGGCCGTGCCGGGGCGCGGCTGCTCGGCTTGGAGTGTGAGTTACGGGCGGCAGACTGCGCGTTCCTTTTCCCTGTTGTACCTGTGATATCGGTCTTACCCTAGCCGTGCTGGCATCAGCGCGTATGTGCGCGGCAGCGCGAGTCGCCCGTACGCGTGAGAGCCTCCATGCACACAGTTTTATCATACATGCTATGATAAGATGTCTTAATACATGTTCAGAACTGCAGATACGAGTTTATTTGCGTCTAATGCATAGCGCTGTGGTCTGCTGCAGCGGCGGGGTGGGGCTGGCCCGTCCCGCTCGACCTAGGCGTGGTGTGATGTAGCTGCGGTCTTTCGCGTCAAACAAGCGAGTCAGGCTAGGTGCGTGGTAATATTCAAAAAAGCTCGACAAGCACATTTGTGTGAAAGACGCTAGGACGTGACTGACGATTTAGCCCGGCGCCGGCGGGCGCCTCGGTCCGCGCTGCTCGCGTCGCACTAGTTCAGTACGCACGACTCGTATGTGGGCACCATGTACTTGATGTTGATGAATGCGTCCTCTCCGCCCGTCTTCTCGAAGATCTCGAGCGTCTCTTGGATGAGGTCGCCCAAGTTGGTGTTCTTCTGCTGCGAGTAGTCGATGCCGTCTCCCTGGTTGACTGAACGAGACGGTACCTTTAATGTTGGGCACGAACACTTCTGCGGAGCGAACAAGCGACGTTTCCGCCGCTTAGACATACTGCAAGCAGCACAGTAAGGGAGCACAGGGAAGGTCCGGGCCAGGGAGGGCAGTTGTGAGTTATCCACCCTTGTGGATCGGAAGAATCACATATTTTTTCCCGTTGCCTATTCTATACGCTGACGAGGCGAATACACCTGCTGGCTCCGTAGCCGACCTATAAGTTGCGGAGCAAGCGCTCCAAAAACTTGCCTTTCACGCCACTGGCAAACGCAAACGTCACCAATCTCCCCGAATGTCCCGGGGCCCGCACGATGCGCCTCCCGCAGAGTGCAGCCCTATAGTCAGCAGGCTTCGGGGGCATGACGGCTTTTAATCGGATGGACTCACCTCCCTCTCCCTCCCTTCCAGACGACGTGCTCAGTGGTCCCTACCTGACAAGAAGACAAAACATATCCCTCTACTCCAAACCCCCCGAGGCGACCACGGACGTGAGCAGCTCAAATACTGCTCTCGGAAACGGGGGGAAAGACGCACAGCAACCGTACCGTTCTTGTTGACGAACAGGTTGAGGATGGGGAGGATCTGGCGGTAGTAAGGCACCAGCGCCTCTCCCACGTGGTCGGCCGACAGCGCCAGGTGCTGCAGCACCTGCAGCGTCACGCAGAGGATGGACGGTGCCCGCGTGTTGAGCGCATCTGAAACAGCAGCAGCGCTAGGCTGGCGTCGGCCGTCCGGCCTGGTCGGAGAGTCACCTGCACGCAGGGTCTCTTCCCATGGGGCTGTGGCTGGAGGGAGGCATGCAGCTTATCTTCCAGTCCCCGCTTTACGAGGCTACAGAGCCACGATTTTAGTCAGCTGAATCGGGTCTTGCATTAGGACTGCTGCTTCTGTGAAAGTTCGAGTTGAGAAAGCCGATTTAGCTGCTGCAACGTGTCGGTGACTTTGAAATCGCAGTCAGGTTTATTAGGCTACACATGCATGGGATTAAGCGTTCACGTTAGCGCCTGCACGTGCCATCTCCGGCGGTTCGCGTCGCGTGCCGTCTTCTTATTGATCGAATTACCACAGCGGATCACGCTCATCTACACCTGGCCAGGAATGTCACGCTGGCATCTAAACCCCCGCTCCTAGCACTTGCTCATCACTCAACAAATGAACGGTGACGCCCAGCAACACCCGAACGAAACACACCAAAAGTAGGCGAAGAGGCAGCATGCCTAGGTCTACCTGCACACGTGGGCTTATTTGCCCGACCCAATTCACGAAAAGGTCCGCCTATTGCACGTTAACTCGCTCCTGCACGCCTGTTGCACGTCAACTCGCTCCTGCACGCCTGTTGCACGTGAACTCGCTCCTGCACGCTTCCCTGCAGAGCACAATGATCCGGCTGGCCTTTAGAAGCGCAGTCTTCGCTTGTTCGGCTGGTGTGTTTGCACTTATAGGTACGTAGTGCAGCAGTGTGCGGACGCGCGCACGGGGCTTCAGGTCAATAAAGCCACGAGGTACTCGCGTATGACACGTAAGATGGCACCTGTCTCCGCGCAATTTGCGATTTTTGTGCTCCGGAGACTGCCTTTCTTGCACATGATACATAAAAGTATGCACATGGAGGTGCAGTCATACAGAGTACAGCCACCGTCTGTCCACTGCAGAATTAAAAGAATGCACGTGGTATCGTGACGCGTGTGCACTTCGTGTCATGGGCCATGGGCCATGTTATAATCCGTTTTATCTGGTTGATAGATGATCTACACAGTGGAGAAGAGCTGTCGAGTAGGCGCCACCTTGACAGTGGAGAAGAGCTGTCGAGTAGGCGCCACCTTGTGGCTGTGCTTCACCAGCTAGTAGCTGTTATTGAGCCGTGACAGAATGGAGCATCTCGCGAGGTGTGTTGCACGTAGAAGTCACGCACGTATGAGTAGCGCCCGTCAATAAGCCGCACGTTTACAACGTAGCTTGGTATATGGCAAGCACTCAAAACGAATCCCGAAATCGAAATCGCGAGAAAATGAATTCTTCGGGCACCAGGCATGAGGTCGAAACCGGGGGGGGGGGGGGGGGGGGAGGGGGTCCTGAACTGATTTTGGACGATTGCATTTGCGTATGAATCCTATCTAGATTCAAGCTTGCAACAACAAGCTATAGCCTTCGTCCCCAACTCAGAATTAAGCTTAAACCAGCCAAGTTCTCATATATTCGAAGATTTGTGATTTATATACTAACTTATTCACAAATAAAATTAAATCAACAACCAACTGAATGTGACTTAATTCAAGGGACGCGCTTACGGGACGAATATTTTGCCGGGTACGTTTCGTGCAGGACAGATAATCGTGATCACAAAAGATGGCGGGGATTCCTGTCAGCACCGAGAGCCTATATCGCAAACGCCATGAGTTATGTAATGTTGATGTCGGCTTAATGGATTGATTAGCACCCATTACGATGTGTATCGCTGGCGATATCTGACTGCAGACAGTCTTCACTCTCGGCTAGTCCGGTGCAGTTTCTTGTGGAGCTCACGGGCAAAGACTTAGGCTTCAGTCAGGGCTCCAACTCCTGTGTTATGGAACCCATGGACTCGGACCCAGGCTTATGCGCTGTAGGGTTGATGGACTCGCACTGGGACTGAGTTTCCGAGGACCCGGGACTCCGGCTCAAACTCCCATAACATGAGTAGGGTAGACCTCACATGTGGACTCTGAGCGCAGACCCAAGAAATAAGATTGCAGCTCGAACTGAATTTTGCTTTGTCCGAATTTATACCTGTCGTATAAATTTCGGGACCTATCTTATATTTTTACAAAGGCCGCTTACTCTGAGGTACGGCAGACTACTGATGTGCTACGCGTAGACGGCTGTGCGGGTTAGAAGCATGGTATGAACTTCCTTACAGGCCGCAGCTGCCATTACCTCCATCGGGTACTTACTTTTGATAGGGATGATGAGCTGAGGCACCACTGGCAGAATTTTATCCTTTCCTCTGCGGAGGAGGTCGTGCACTCCTTGTCTAGCGAGGAAGTCGTAAGGATGCGTCAACTCGCACAGTCCATCGAAAAACAGTGGCAAGTAGTGATGAAGGTCCAGCTTTTCTATTGGTACCTGGGGACAATGAAGCTAGTCAATATTACATGCTATGAAATGTGCCTCTTCCGTTTAGGTGTGCTCGCTAATTTACGGCACGTCTAGTTGAAAGTCATTACTGTGTTAGTTTGGGAATTGCACGTAATTGAAATGTCACACAGATTATAGTACTTAACGCGGTTTGGTTGGGACAAAATTTTTCAGTTTTTAGTATCTTTTGGATACAGTGGCATGCTATCATTGAGCCTCATGACGGTAAACGGCACATTATGACATAAACGGCAAACGGCATTCGGCATAGGGAAACAACTAGGTACAGGAACAGAGCTAAAACAGTGCAAGCTGCGTGTGCAGTATTTAAGTAATGTTCGAATGTCCATACCGGACTAAAAGGTGTAATGAAAGGTACTTACCTTCCAGATAATTTTAAATCCCCGAACCACTGGTTCTAGGATAAGTGGAAAGTCGCCTCGTTCGTAATACAGCCGAAATGTCGTTGGCTTCGGCCTTCGGGCCTTGAAAGCACCAGCACATGGGGCGGGGATGGGTATTGTGTTATGCTGCCAAACTTCGATGGTAAACGCGGGCACAACGCGACATTTGGGGGAGAAGTTTGGCTTACAAGTCGCGAGTGACATGTCTCCCCACCTGACAGCCCCCCGACGTGATCAAGCGCCACACTGTTCGACGAGCAAGCTGGTTTGGCCGCCGGCTGGTTTGTTTGGTCGATAGAGGTCGGATGTTTCTGGGTAGCCGGCATGCGCAGTGCTTCAGATGGGTCTTCTCTTTTCTTTTAACGTTTATTTTGTGTGTGGGAAATCTGTTGAATTCATGCGAAAGTGGAAGCCAGGCGTCATGAAGATTTTACTCGTCATTGGACTCCCGCCCGTTATGGATCTTATGGACTCGGCTTCGTGACGCCAGCTGTAATTTCACGAATCGATTCGCCCAAGAGCTTAGTAAACACTTGGTTGCCATTCGCCTTGAAAAAAAAAAATAAACGACATGATGTGTATATGGAAAAATATGTTATCTCATATATGGGACGTCCTCGGATCGAAAGCGGTAGCAGAAAGTTTATGGCAAGGACAGCAGACGCTATCATTCATGTAGTTGTCAACGTTTTGATACATTGCGTATCATCACCAGGGCGAGTACAATGACACAAGCTCAGCTAAGTTACAATGAAACATTAAAACATTTGTCCGACCTTGCTAGACATGAAAACGGTCACAGTTAACGCAATTCAACACAGCCTTTCCGCGCATAAACATTACAGCTTCAAAATATACAAAAATCACGCGGCGAAGCATCCCTTTGACTCCGCATGAAAAATGTTACCTTATTAGTTGCAAAGAATGTGCGGGTCCCATGATAGTCGTCGGCTTTTTATGGTGAACATGAAGTGATTCAGAATACTAATATGAAGAAAATTGCCGCAACGCTCTCATACAGAGAAGTTTTTGATGTTGAAGTGAGTGTCACACGCAAGTGAATGGCATCGGATGGGCAAATGGTATGGGTTAGGCAGAATGCTGCCTACACGGTCAGACCTTCCCAAGTGCTCTCGCACTCTGCAGCGCAAATCACGAATAGTTGAACCCACGTAAGATGCTCCACACGAAGCCCAACAATATTTGTAAATGGCCGCAGAGACAGAACATTTGGAAAGCTTGTCTTTTTACTTAAAGAAAGATCCAACAGAGTTTACAAAAAAATATTTTATAGGATGAACTTAAACGGAAAGCTCTTTAACTTGCTGTTTTTGCACCATCTTGCTTAAAAGCGTCGGGAATGAATAAGAAAAGGCTGAGTCAAAAAGGGTGAAAAGGCGTGAGAACAGTGATTGACAGAGCTTTCCGTTAAGTTCCAACTATAAACACCTTAATTTTGAACTTGATCCAGTCAGATAATTCCTTCAGGGAAACGGCTTCCCATTTTCAACCATTAATAGTTAAATAAAAGGCTTCGATGCAAAATATGTCAAAATATGTCTAAAATATGTCAAAAGTTCATAAAGTCTTAGGGATAAATAAATATTTGGTGTTGCCTCATTTTGGAAAATAGTCGAGACAACTTAAAAATCGGCTTGCAACCCTGCCACAAGGTTTTTACCCTTTTCTGTCAGCTATAATCATATCAGTGAACTATTTTATTGTTGAATGTTTATTTAACTTAGAACACAAGCTTCCCAAACGTTCTATATCTGCATCCATACACACACACACACACACACACACACACACACACACACACACACACACACACACACACACACACACACACACACACACACACACACACACACACACACACACACACACACACACACACACACACACAACACACACACACACACACACACACACACACACACACACACACACACACACACACACACACACACACACACACACACACACACACACACACACACACACACACACACACACACACACACACACACACACACACACACACACACACACACACACACACACACACACCACACACACACACACACACACACACACCACACACACACACACACACACACACACACACACACACACACACACACACACACACACACACACACACACACACACACACACACACACACACACACACACACACACACACACACACACACACACACCCACACACACACACACACACACACACACACACACACACACCACACACACACACACACACACACACACACACACACACACACACACACACCACACACACACACACACACACACACACACACACACACACACACACACACACACACACACACACACACACACACACACACACACACACACACCACACACACACACACACACACACACACACACACACACACACACACACACACACACACACACACACACACACACACACACCACACACACACACACACACACACACACACACACACACACACACACACACACACACACACACACACACACACACACACACACACACACACACACACACACACACACACACACACACACACCACACACACAACAATATATATATATATATATCTCTCTCTCTCTCTCTCTCTCTCTCTCTCTCTCTCTCTCTCTCTCTCTCTCTCTCTCTCTCTCTCTCTCTCTCTCTCTCTCTCTCTCTCTCTCTCTCTCTCTCTCTCTCTCTAATCTATATCTATATTATCTATCTATCTACCTATATATATATATATATATATATATATATATATATATATATATATATATATATATATATTGCTGCGTTTCGTGCGGAGGATCCTACGTGGGGTCAATCTCTCATGGTTTAAATTGTAGAGTCAGTCACATTCAGGAAGGTCTGACTGACGGGTAGCATTCTGTCTAACCTATACCCTTCGGTCATCCGATACCATTTGCTTGCATGTGGCACTCACTTTAAATCGAACACTTCCCAGTATTAAGGCGTTGCAGCAATTTTCTCCACATTAGGAGATCAGAAAAATTTGAACATTCACCAAAAAAGTCGCCATTGAATACCATGGGACCTGCATATTCTTTGCAAATGGTAAGGCAGTCTTTTCATACGCAGTCAAAAGGGTATTTCGCTGCGTGATTTTTGTGTCTTTTAAAGCTATCCTGTTATGCGCAGAGGTCGTGCTGCGTTGTGTTAACTGTGATCATCGTTATGTCTAGCGATGTCCGATAATCACATAAAAAGTCACGTATTGTCTTTGAGATGAACTGGAACCTTTCAAACAGGTGGTGTACATCAGGTCTGTTGTAATTGGGTGCACTTAGCGGAGTGTATTTGTTTTAAGCGTCTTATCATGACGCCTGAAACTGCACGTAGAATGAGCCAGTGAAATGAAATCCATCAAAATCAAACTGTGCTGCTCTATCCGTCTGTTTTCACCTCGAAAAAAAATCCGCCACTCATAAAGCCACTTCTCTGCCTCAGATCTTCCTACATCTTCTGACCTAACAACAGCGAAGCAAACGCTTTCGTACTGTTAACGCATCTCCAAAAGCATGGGGGTAGGAACAGGGGGGGGGGGGGGGGTGGGGGGGAGGGCAGGGGGCCATGGCCCCCCTCCACTTTTCAAGGTGGCGGGCAATCAATGTTAACTGGCCCCTCGCTTTTCAGATTAAGGTTGCATTTGGCTTACTTTTGTACCGCATTAAACATGCATGCCGATTTACCTAGTTCACCAGCCATCTCCCTTGAGATGCGTCATTTTTTTCGTTTGCTCATTGGCTACACTTAGTGTTACAGCCGCAAGACCGACGCCGCACGGCCTGGAGACTGCAACGCCGGGTGTTGAGGCTGTTATTTCTATGACTTGCGAGCACGCATGTTCAACACCATATCACGTAGTTTTCTTATCAGTAGTCAGCTCTGACAGGATCTTGAGCATTATAAGACGAATATGGACTAGCCATGTTAATATAAATTATCAACCCCATTTCATCTGCAATATACATTCAGGGAGAACTCAATATGTCTGAAGAACACAGAAAAACATGGAACTGGTGTCTATGTGAAAACTGTCGGACTACCTGCGGTGATCAGGAACGTTGTTGCGTCAGTGAGGGTCCCTGTCCTGATCCGGGGCTATCTGCGCGGATCAGATGGCCTCCCGTGTCCTTCTAATGGCCTCCGCATCGACCAGGAGATCCCGCCCCGTGCCACCAGAATGATAGCCAGAAGACACTTCGCGATGGGACGGAATGGCCCTTCAGCCCTTGACCGGAAACGGTAATGTACACCTGGTGTTCTACTCAAGAGGCCCCTTACCCGGAAGGGAATAAGAGGTCTCATAATTGTTGAGTAGAGTGGGGCTCTCATTATTGTTGAAAAGCACGGGCAGAAATGAATTTAAAAAGCAAGCAATGTAATGTCACGTTTGCCTGAGAGCGTTCATTTCTTTCAGAATGCATTATTGAAACAAATTACATCAAAAGGCTTGAAGATGCACGCCCGCAGCTTCGAGAGCAAGGGCGAGGATGGTCTGAGTTGCAACTTCCAAAAAACCGGTAAGTTTCAACCACTGCAAGTGCCATCAGACGGCAGGCGCCACGCTAATCTGTCTTCTGGACAGATAAATAGTTGCGGAGACACGAGAAATGGAGATTTTACCTTCACTCTTCCAGTTCAACCACCAGATTCCAGCCTCACTTCGCGGTGCTTTAGCAGCCAATCTGTTCTTTTCATCGATCTAAAAATTGCACGCTGAAATATGCGCTCAGACTACATTTTAAATGCAAACCTGATGTCATGAAGCGTCCAAGGATACTCTCTCAGAAGCGTCGTCATTTTCGCCCACCCGTTGGCCACAACTTAATATTAGATGCTAGACCGACGCTGCGCGGCCTACGGAAACCCCAACACCTGGGGTCGAGGCTTGTGTTTCTAGAATTTCGGAGTGCGCATGCTCAAAATTACGCCAAATAACTTGAATAACTAGTTGATTTAAGTGTTTAAAGGTAATAATTTCAGAAGCGTTGTCTTTTTCGTCCACCGGTGGGGCACGGCTAAATGTTAACTGCTGGGCTAACGCTCCGAGGATCGTGGAGACTGCAATGTCTGGTGTCGAGGTTTTTGTTGCTAAGATTCGCGAGCCAGCATGTTAAAAGACACGTTACATGAATTATATCACTAGTCAATTCTGACTGAATGGTGAACATTTTTAGACAAACATGGCTTGGCGATATTAATACACATTGTTGGCCACTTGATTTGCAATACAATTTTCGTCTTCAAATTTGGATCAAACAATCGATCTACAATCTACCTTCGCGATGTCCTCAATGTCTGTAGAACCCAGATGAAAAATTCACAAAGCTTCTGAATTTTATCGATTAAGAAAGAGTCAGTTGACCATTGTAAATTAAGAGCGCCGGTGATTTCTTCCGTGCAGTCGTTCAATGCCTGATTTCTGCAGCTTATTGATCTTAAAATGCAAACAGGATTGAGTTCACGGCAACTCCTGGTTTCTGTTCTGGTTACAAGGTAAAAATAACAATAAAACGAAGAAAACCGTGTCACTTGTTAACCAGCAAGCCATATCCGGGGATTTGGGGGAGGGGGTCACCATAAGATGGGCTTTGTCAGCCCTGTGTTCCCCCTTGGCAAGGCTCTGGCTACGCCCCTGCCTACACACAAAAACAGATCAAGTCGCGTACGTTGCATGATGCGCAGTGAAGTGTCCGTCGGGCCAATCCATTCCTAAGGCAGACAGCCTCTCGGGGGCTATTTTTCTGCGATGGTGTGGTATAAAGGAAAACAATTGGGGAAAAATACTGTTGCAGGTGTCCAACACATGTTTCATACACCATGTAGAAGTAACGCTGATCCAAAAGTATGCAACAAAGTAGCCACACGATCAGCTCGCAGTCAGTCATGCGGGAGACATCCAGGCCAGGGCAGTGACCACCGACGGCGGACAGTAGTAGGACCCAGATAAGGAACACATGACAGATGGGCCTTATTGGATGGCCTGATTCTTAAAAGTGAATCTCCACTTTTATGGATTTTGTCACATTCGTTTCTAGCATTTTCAAGCTCCCGAATTTGATTCAGCCTAAAATGCTGCGACAAGTCTTGTTTCTTGAAAAGCAGCCAGCGAAATGAATGCGCATAAAAAATCTGACGCATTGTGAACCATCGATCCACTTTCAAAATTCTCACCAGCCTATATCCATGCCGTATTTTGGCATCTACACTGTGGTGGCAAATGCTTCCTTAATGACCCAAAATACCTACCCGCTCGTGGAATTTCGTCTCCTCAGGAAAGACAATGTAAAATGGACGAATCATCTAGGGAAGCTGAATAGCCTTATTTGCCAAATGACAGATGGGTCGAACAGGCAAGATTGTGCACCAGTGATAAACAGCTCTAGATGCATATCTAGCAAAGCAGCCATGACATTTGAATAAAGAGCGATAACAGCCTCCATACCCCCCCCCCCCCCCGGCCATCGGGCTCGCTTTCCAGGAAAAAAGCTTCTGAAGTACATCCTGAGCTTGGCCCCCACTTTTGGAAACGCTCGTACGCCTATGTCCAAAAGTAAGGAAAGTTTAGATGACGCTCGCACTGCCAGGGTGCACCCGCATGAGTTTCTGAGAATGCCTCTTCAGCATCTTGTGCAACTGCGCCCAAACTTTAGAACGCCTATGGGACATCCATTGCCAGTGTTTTGATAACAAAAAACGTGATTCTAGCTTTTCTGGTTTCAGGGCACTGGTGGTCCATGAGGGACACTGCGCGGGAATCTACGGCCTGCGCGGACGGCGGGCGCCAACTTACGATGCCGCGGAACGCACGGGACGGGCCGGCATTGCCACATTGACGGAGCCCTGTGTTATGAAGATATGCACCATTGTACTTGGAATTGAACACGTAACACACCTGTGAAAGCCTTGTGTTACCACAAGGCACGGTCTCGCAGGTATGATGTTGTAAAGCCTAAGAAGCACAATTTTCTGGAAGATTTGACCCTAGGCCACCTGCCATGATGGGCTAGCTATTGACCTAACAACATACAGACTAGTACACAATCGCAAGATCTCGCTGCGACCAATCAATCGGTGTTTTCCTCTAAGCCCAGTTGTATTATTTTGGAAACGCCAAGGGTTTCATTGCCCCCCCCCCCCCTCCCTCCCCACTATCAACCTTAGTTATGAAAGATGGTAAAGCAAGGAAAGAACATATATTTTCCTATGCTAAATTTCTCACAGACGCCCGTGTTTTCATCGTTTACGAGTCATGTCCGACAATATTGATGTCACTGAGGTTTGCGACGTACTCAGCTATCGAGGCAATAAGGCGTTGCCTGCTTTTCACTTAAGCAAGAAGGGCAAGCATGTGTTACACAATGCAAATTTTTATCCTCTTTTTTAAGGATTAATCCGCACCTTTGGAATGTTCACATATTTCTGGGATCAGAGCTCACACTAAGCAGTGATTTTTATGTGAGCCCTGACCCCTACCATTTAATTGTGCAATGTCATGTGGCGGGGAAAATGCCACATCGATCCGGATCACATCGATCCCACCCCTAAACAATCGGCACGTTTCATTTCTTACGCATGAGCGGCATCATTTTGTTTCGTTACGAAACGTATGTTATGCCTTGTGACCTGTTTGCGTATGAATGATAATTTAGGTGTTTCGAAAAAGTAGAATATCGTTACTGTCACCTGGAGGCCATCTGTTGGCTATCCTATTATCGTGTCGTGTTGATGCTAACGCCTCGAGTAGTTTCATAATTCCCTTGCGATTCTTGTTTCACTGTGGAACAAAGAATCCATGCACACCAAAGGAGGTTCTTTTGCAACCAAGCGCGCGTGCTTTCCATTTACTTTTTAGAAACAGTTGCATATGAACAAAGAATTTCACTCCTTCCACCGTGCAGTGCAAAAAAGAACCGAAGAACTTTTTGAGATTATCAAACCTTCTAACATGATTTAGAATTTCAGTCGTTTGAATATCCCACAGTTGGTTCACGTTTCCGATACCAACAGCACGTGAAGTTCATTAGCTGCAAGGATCAAGATGAGTACCGGAAGTAGACCCGACAGCAGGGCCTCTGGGCCAACGATCATGAGCGCTGGCTCCAGACCAGGCATAAACTCCAATGCCTCACTTCCATTTCGTTCGGCCCTGGATGTTGACATTGTTTTTCCCAAGAAAGATGACAGCACTCATGCAGCGCGAATAACGTCTGCTCCTCATGGGATGTGTGGTATGTATTTGAAAGTTGAAGCACTCTGTGTTGTCTTCAAAGTTGAAGGCAGTATATTTGCTTTACATTACAGATCTACATGATATAAATGCTCTGCTATGCTGTTTTGTTCACAAGCCCCCAGGTGCTGTCATTTTTAGACGTTTTGTGTTTTTCACAGATGTGTCCTGTGAAGACATTATCTAATAGGTCAAATCTTATTTACGAACACCTGTGTTTGATTATTTTCTATTTATTTCATTAGCTTTTCCAAACGAAAGCTTTTCAGGACGCCTGTTGTTTCATGCGCAACTTAAGGCCATGCCTGTCATTTTTAAGTTCAGGAAGCCTGACTGATTTATTCTCGTTTTGTATTTCCTGGCTTTTATTGTATGTCGATACGTTTGCCAAGCGCTGCTGCTGCTTTTATTCTGTCACATGCATAGCCAAGTCACGGCAGGCAGGGTAAACGTACTCCTGGTCCGGCACGCGGACCTGGCCGACCCCACTGAACGCGACAAATCTTCGACACTGGCTGTATCCTAGAAACTGATGACTTAGGTATGTGAGACCAACATCATATATACATGCACGAAAGTTTAAATTACATGACAACAGGTAGTTAATAATCATTGCTAGCCAATGTCACAAGTGTGTTAACATATTCAATTCCCAAAGCTGATTCACCACAAGTAGAACTTTGCGTTCGATAACAAACTAACGGTAATTTAGTTAATATGTGAGGGTGAAATAAAGATGGCCTGTTTATATTTCCGCTGGAAAGCAATTGTCGAATCGTTGGATACGGTATTGTTGTCGGATACATAGGAGTAACTACACTTTGCGTCACAGTGCAGGTAATTTGTGCTTGCCAATCAACTCCAACCTAATGTTGGTACACAATCACGCGTCATATCACATATCACATAGTCAGGTAGCTATCGGGGATGCATTTTGTTTCATCACAAGCAGCCATACCGGCGTGAGGCTAAGAATGCATCACAATACAACTACCCCCCCCCCCCCCCCCAAAGGACATCGCATGACTATACTTAAAGGGACGGGACGTTTCAAAAAATTTGTCTGCTGCAATGCGCACGAAGTTCCATGGCATTCATCTGATTCATTTGTTTTCCTCCTTTGCCAATCATTTTACTCTCTACGCCACAACGTTCTACAACGTTTGGGTCTAAGCATGAACCCAATAGCAGGTCAGTGACCGCCATGAGTAATGCATTGCGCTAATCATTTTTTTTTCTGTCACGTGCCAACCAACGGCAAAGTGGATAAATGATGGAGTTTCAGATGTTTGGGACTTATCAGGATGGAAAACCGTCTTTTGGGACCGAATATTATCCTCTTGTTGGTGAAATTACGCTCTGGGAACTGTTAAGCTTTGCTAATCAGTGTATTTTTGTTCTATTTTTCAGCCGCAAGATGACACTTTTTTGCTAGGAAAAATATGAGCGGATACCTGCCTTTACACAAATTGACACCCCTGGATACCGGTTATTCGCCTTGGTTGACCTCGGAGAAGGGGAAAATGAACGTTAATTCGCCGCTTCTGTCTTTATCTCGCAACCAACCAAAAATCTATATTGCACTACAAACGCAGACACAATGCTTCGAAACGTAGGGTAAACAGCAAAACATCACACAATAACTCACTCTGCACTAAAACGCGACTAAGCACTGTTATTTTGGGTTGTAAAAGCCAAGACGTCCTCCAGATGAGGCAGATGCTCTGTGAGCGACCCACGGGCTGCTGACAGCACTATTCTACCACAGCCGACTGCCACTGGTCGGTGTCCTGACGATCTCAATGGTGCCACCAGGTCGCATTAGCCACCGGTACGTCTTCGCCACGCTCTGCTCCATGGGCCTGGCCATCACGTACGGCCTCAAGGTCAACTTCCACGTCTGCATCGTGACAATGATCAACCACACGGCCCTGGCCAAGACCGGCGAGGACGAAGGCCACGGTGGCGGCGGCGAGAGCAATTGCGTGGCCAAGATGGCCAACGGCAGCAAGGCCGCCGATACCGGCCCGATGGATGTACGTCTGGAGAGTCCGCCGCCGCGCTATGCACACTCGGTCGGCAGCGGAGGCTTACTTCGGGATTGGGGCGGCCGAGAACTGGCAACATGTGTTCAGAGGGGTTTGACTCTCCGGAAAAGTGCAGACTATGAAATGTGGCGCAGGCTTCATGCAACACATGCGGTAGTACTAACAGCTGTGCTGTAATTCCAAAACTTGCTTGACTATTAGCGCATTGGATTAACTTTAACGAAATTAATCGTTGCAGAACGCTGACTTTTCTGACGCGTTTCTTGACACTGGCAACTTTGACGACAATGAGCCTGTAAAAAGACTGACTAACATTTTCGTCGTACAGCCGGCAGCGAATCCCATGATTTCATTCCATACTTTTGGCATGCAGCACAAACGAACAGCACACCCAGCCATAATTTTTCAGGCACGTCCCAGAGTTTTTGCGCTGCAAAATTATTGGATTATATCGCCGGCCACTCGGCCAAGTATCTCAACCCAGCCATCACCGCGTCGCTCTTCCAGGGGCCGTTCACCTGGAACCCGATCATCCAGGGCGTTCTGCTGAGCGCCTACTTCTACGGCTACCTGGTGACACAGCTGATCGGTGGTCGGCTGTCGGAGGTGTTGTCCGCCAAGTGGACATTCGGGGTAGCCACCCTGCTCAATATCGTGTTCACCCTTCTGACGCCCACCGCAGCTTACACCAGCTGGGGCGCTCTGCTGGTCATCCGCATCTTGGAGGGCATGATGGGGGTGAGGCTATGCGCAATCAAGGGTCATCAAAGTTAACGTCATCTTCTTGGTGCATGCAGTGTCATAAAGAACAAGTAAAACTGACAGAAGCACGTGCACGAACAGGTGAACCTGTCATTCGCAGGATCTTGCATAATACCAGATGCTGGCTAAACAATGAAAGGATGTCAATTTTTATATGACCGCTTCGGTGTGGGTTACCATATCATGATCGTGCATTACCATGTGTGATAACGACATGGTAGTCATTGGTTGATAGGCGTCGACTCATTTTGGTAACGCAGTGATGACGCTCGTTTGAAACGACAGCAGCTTTTATGAAAACGCCCGTGGCAAATTTTTAAAACAAGTTCGGAATGACCTGACAGCATTGTTAAGACATGCTAGCACCATTTCAGGTATCTGTAGGCGATACGTTGTCTTCAAAAGTGTCATAAGTTATGTCACAAGTTACAAGGTATGCTACGTCATGCTTTGTGCCAAAATAATTGGGTCACATTATCTTGCAAATCGGATTCTCATGCCAGATTTTGTACAAAAGTTTTGCATTATTTGTATTTTTTAAAATTTATTTTTATTTATTTCAATGCACTTCCGGCAGTGTCCGAATTGAAGCGTGCCATATCTTTTCAAACCTCTGTATTTTTAGTTATCGACACATGATAACAGTATAATCACTAACACGATTTGTCGTTGTCAATGGCTTCGTGTTCTTTCCAGGGCGTGACTTTGCCCGCTACGCACGTGTTGCTGTCGAAATGGTCTCCAAAGTCAGAGATGAGTCGGTTGTCGTCGGCCGTCTACGCAGGTAATTTTACCCCACCAACCAGGCTGGAAAACGACTTCGTCGGTCTTAGATGAAATGACTTAAATGAAATTAAACAAAAGAAAATGCTTTCTTCGGTCCTTTTCCCAAATGCCGTTTGGCCATTGTAAGCGGTTGCGTAAGTTATCAAAAATTACCGCTTCCCCAGGACAGCTATTGATGCTAAGTAAAATGCACTTTACCGCGTCTAAGGCAACCAATCAGTGTTGAGGTTTCAGTACCAGTAAATAGTCGATCATACGCAAAATGCATTGACTTGAGACTCATTTATTTATAAGCAAAACAAACCATACCCCAAAAGCGCCATTTTATTTCGCATTACAATCCTGTGCCAGGCAACACCAGACGAAGGATTGTGATACGAAATATAGCGGCATGTCTTTAGCCTAGTTTGTGTTTCTTGCATTTCTTTGACGGACGCCAAAAAATGTTAAAACTCATTAGTGAGCGAAAAGTCAACCAGTCGCGTCCAGCAAAGAATTGGAAGAAAGTTTGTCTTCGATGTGGCAGCGGGGCCGTTTTTCGAATGTGGCTTAACTGCTATATAGAATCTGGTAGCCTGACACGAAATGTGGCCAAGCGACCACACTCATGCCTATGAATATCGTGAGCTTTGTTAGAAATTAATTCAAGGATGGGTTATCATAAAAGATACAAAATGTCTTAGGCGTCAAATTACGCTAGATTGACGTTGTGTTATTAAAATCTTACCAAATTCTCAAGTGCCTTTATATATTTTATCCTCGACATTTGGGCAACCGGTTAGTCCTCTCAAGCAATAAAAGGGTGAGTATTATAGGCCTGCGCACGGTTGCGGGGGCAGGGCGGGGGGACGCTGCTCCAAGCTATCTGCTGTCCAACACCACTTGAACGACCTGCCTCATGACCGGGCTCATCCGTCTACACAACGGGTTCCTTTGTTTGATTCATCACATGACGATCATTTTGTGGATAGAGATGGGTCCAGATGCAATTTAACTGATTACGGCTAATTGAATGGTAGCAACTAATAGCAACTAACAGCTGATGTAGTTGTTCTGGGAACCAGAGTGTTTATCATTCGCGGGTAGCATCGCGGATAACATACTGTAGAGGGATTAGGGATAGGCGAAAACTCCCTTATTGCCGTGCTGTCGGAATTACTGTTTATCGTATTTATTTGACCACAAACACTCCATACGCACATACACACACACGTACACGCAAACGCACACTTTAACTCACACGCACACACTCACACACCGTACGTACACTCGCTTCACGGTTCCACCCTCACCAACGGGTTTTCCAAATGCGACGAGAACGAGCAAGGCTGTCCCAAACCCCTTCTTCGTGAAATCAGCGCCGACGGTGGGCGGTCATCCTGAGGTGGCTGCGCGCCGACCTGAGTCTGCTGTGCTGCGTGTCGGCAGGCCTCTCGCTGGGTACGGTGCTCTCGGTGTCGTCGACGGGTCTGATAGCCGGCACGCTGGGCTGGGAGGTGGTGTTCTACATACACGGCAGTCTGGCGCTGATCTTCATCGTGCTGTGGAGCACGCTGGTGTACGACTCGCCCGCCTTCCATCCCTGGATCTCATCGAGCGAGAAGAACCTCATCATGGACTCGACGGGCCACGACCACCACCATAAGGACGTGAGGCCCATACTCTCGCCGACTAGCCGATGACGGAGAGACTGCCGCACAGCTATTGACCAAGGAACAGGGGATTTGAGGCGTCCAGGCGGCACTGTGTCGCTCGGGCTCGACGTGTTGAGTTATTGCAAGCTGCATGGCGCCACCGTGGATACCATGTAGCCCTTCAATTTTGAGATGAAACGAAACATTTATCATGAACTTACAACAGCGAAGGAAAAAGGAGGGAGCGTGGGTTGTACCATGCCCACCAGACCCAATGGTCTCACAAGTACATGCAGCATGTGGTCCGACTTCGGCCTGAACAGCATGCAGTCGGGATGAAGCAGCTTAATATGTGCTTCCTTTCAGAGTCCGCCTGTGCCGTGGAAGGCCATTTGGATGTCTAAACCATTCTGGGCCATCTTGATATCTCACACCGGCAGCAACTTTGGATGGTACGTGCCTGAGCCTCTCAATGCTAAGCTTAAAAAGTTGCACTCATGAATTATTCCGCCCGAGCATGACATCAGTGTGCAAGGAGACGCAGTTGACTGATTGCAAAATTATCGCGTGTCAGCCTGTACGATTTACTCTGACGTTTGCTCTCTGCAGGTACATGCTGCTGACTGAGCTTCCCAGCTACATGTCGGGCATCCTCGGGTTCGATATCAAGTCCAACGCCCTCCTCTCGGCGCTGCCTTTCCTCGTCATGTGGGTGTACTCCATCCTCTTCGGCAACCTCATGGACCACTTGGGCGCCAGAGGCATCATGACCAGGACTCAGATGACCAAGCTGGCCACTGGCATCGGTTAGTGCTTCAAGTAGCATTATGGATTTCACGGGAAAAGGCAGCGTACTTAGAATTAAACTGCTGCTGTGCGATGATAATCGTACGAAACACGCTGACTGGTGCCACGAACTAACACTTCACTCTGGACGAATAACTGCAGGACAAAACTTTGACGAAGACTAAATGACTTTCCTGCTGGCATAGCATAGCCGGCATAACACCGCGGTTTTAGCAGGTTCTGTCCTTTCTGTAGGACAATGTAGACGAGACCGCTTCTCATGGCCTGTATGTAAATACCCTACCGTTTCGCTGCTCGTGGAGGGCTTCAGTAACGTTCGCCTTTCTTATGATATGGTGGCCTTCGCATTGATATTTTCAGTTTGTGTAATGATCTGAGCTTTGTATTACCGGCCTCTGACGTCTACGGGAGTGCCCAGTCGCCCTTACCAACTGCCTCGTTCATACCGCAATCTGTATTGGTCTCGCTTCGCTAACCTGGGACCTATGTGGCCAGCCGCTTTCATCCCAGCCATCTGCCTGGTGGTGGTCACGTTTGTGGGCTGCGACAAGGCGCTGGCCGTGTTCCTGCTGACCTTGTGTACCGGAACGTTCGGCTCCATGTACAGCGGCTTCCTGGCCAACCACATCCAGATCGCTCCCATCTTCGCCGGTACGGAGAGTAGCGGAGAGACCGGAGCGGGTGTGCTGGCTCAGAAGCCGAGGAGACACTGCGCTGTGCGGGCTGGCTTGCTATGTACATAGGGCGATGTTGGCTTCAAGGATGGAATAATTGCTTTGGTGATCGCTCTCGTTTAGTGTCTAAGTATGCACATGATGTTTTAACCCGTTAATGCTCCGGTGGTCAAGTGTCATGGAGTCCTTGGGACTGAGTGATGCTTGGTTTCAACCATGCACGCGTAGCAATTCAAATTATATCCTTGGCATAGCTCAAATTCAAACCAGGCTCCTCTGATTGCGAGTCTGGTGCTCCACCAATTGAACTCAAGGAGAAATGCAATCTATCAGTGTAGGACTTGGTGCTGTTCATCTGCTGGATGTGGGGGTTTTCCTGCAGAATTGGGTACCGTATTGGGCTGATACGCTTGGCTTACCGGTGGGGTTGTTAACCAATGTCACGTGTGCTGCTTCCTGAATTTTTATAAATTTCCAATGTTGATTTGTGTCTGATTGTTACCTCATTCCATGTTGATCGGTGATCGCCGTCTGACCATAAAGGTTCTGCCTCACCAGACTTAGGGTCTCCCTCTGGATGGTTACCTTCTATTCCCCCCAGTCAGACCGACAGAGGGTGTGCTGTCCACGCCCCTTTGTAGGACCTACCACAGCTGCGCAGCATGTCTTATATGCAGCTCTTCGTCTGTTCCTTAGCCGTTAGGCGTTGGTGCTCTGACTTTGGTAACTGATCTCTAGAGAATTGAGCTGTTTCCGAAGACTCCCCTGATGTTGCATACGGTAGTCGCAATAATTTTTTCATTTGTGGTACTAATACCCCGCCTCAGTCCCTTCTTAAAAAGGCATCGGTTGTTTCAAAAGCTGATCGCTGAATGGCCTACAACGGTTCACGCGAGAGCAAGTGTTAGCATAGGGACTGAAGATGTCACTGGGTGCAGCTATGGCGTCTCACCGAAGCTGGCTGGTTCACAGGGACCCTGATGGCAATCACCAACACAGTAGCCACCATCCCGGGCATGGTGGTGCCCAGCTTCGTCGGCGCCATGATCCATGAGCACGTGCGTGTACAGTATATAACTATATAACCACGTGCAGCGTATCGCACGTGAGTGCTGCGCTGAACACTGCATCGCACCGCACTGAACCTCGCAGCGCCGTGCAGCAGTCCCACGCGGTACAAGAGTGGTTCAGTCCTCCTGGCACCACACGTGCGCGTAAAGCACAACATCGGTCACTTCATTACTGTACGTAGGGTACCTAACGCGAATAGTTGATGCGCTTTGTGTGGGAGATTGCACTGTTCGATGCCACGCATACTACATCAGTATGCATAATCTCTGAACTGTAAAGTTCCGTACTAGAAGTCACTTCGCAGTCATTTTCGGTATACACTGTCGAATCATGAGCTCATTGCGCTCACTTCGAGTCGAGTGAACGGACATGCTGTGTCCATGAGCTCGTTGTCTTTCCTGCCGTCAGGAAGGAAGGTGGAGGAGGAGAAAGGGCACAGCGAAGTAATCGTCTGGCTAGAGCCCTGAACTTCTCATCTCTCTTCAAAATAATGTGTAATCCTTCGACGGAAATAGTTCACATTGTCATCAATGACAAAATTGGATGGGGAAGGTGTGTTGACATCACAATTGTATCTCAGTGTCCTGTGCATTACTGTCACCTCTGTCAGCGCAGCCCGCTCATCCCCAGAACACAATCGACAAGTGGCGCGTCATCTTCTGCACGACGGCTGGCATCCTGACGGCGCAGGGCATTCAGTACATGTTCCTGGCGTCGGGCGAGGAGGAAGAGTGGTCGAGCAAGGCGCACAATCCCGATGACTAAGAAATCGCTGGTGCTCCGCGGTGACCAACGGCGGTGGTGGCGCACCCTGCGCAGAGGGTCGGAGGCGGCCTCACCGAGTCGGGGCCGCTGGGTAAGGTCACTGACCGGGGACAGCGGTCGAGAGCAAGTCCGGATGTAAGACGGGAAACGAGTCCAGGAACCGTAAAACTGGCGGTGGAAGTTGGGCAGATCGCCGTGTCGCTGGACCGTGGCCTGGGTCGGGCTAGAGTGTCAGTCGAGTGAACGGGCCAGCGGCTGTTCAGCATATCAGCTGTCTGTCAGCTGCCGACCTCGCTTTGAGATCGATCAGCGAAGGCGTGCCAGTCAGCTGGCGCTGCACGCCTTTTAAAGCGCGACAGACTTGTCAGAATCACTAACGTAGTCTAGAAATGTAATGCAGTAACCTTAGCGTGGTTTTAAAATCTCGCATGAATGCACTTTAGCTGCAAATGCCATTGAAATTGTGACATGAAATACAGCTTGAACTTGTGAAGCGTTTTTGTATCAGAGCACGTGAGAAGCGTGTGTGTAGTTATGCCTTTGCGAGAGAAATCAGCAGGATTTCCCTCAGGGAACGGGATTGACAGAGACAGCTTACCAAACAATGCGAGATTAACATCACACTAACTGTGGACCTGGCGTGGAAGGACAGCCTTCTTCCCGTTGGACAGCCAATTGGCGCACGGTGGGATCCAGCCTGACTGTTCATGGGCCATCGGTACAGGCATATGATATGTTTATGCTTGCATGGTTACGAAAATACGGATTGCAGCCTAAAGGGCAAAGTTATTTGTACATTTTCTGAACGTGAACATCACTCATCAAAAGCATGGGTCATTACTGCTTCCATTAAAGCGAAGCCGCTGTTCGGATGTAGCTTGAAACATCGCTATATACACATCCGCATTATCACATCCAAAGGGACAAGCCATGCAAGCCTTACCTTACTTCAAAATTAGCTGATAATAAGTGGTTAAGCCAAGAAGTTGGGATCATTCTGGATATGAGGAAAAGCTTCAGGACAATGCGGTCATATCCAGCACTTCCTCCTCTACGCCTCAAAAAACCCACTTGACCGCTTCAACGTGCACAGTATCTCTGTATGAAGCTGAACATGGCTTGGTTCCGGTCGAGTCTTAATTTGTCGTGTGTGGTCTTATGACCCCCTTGCAACTTTGCACAACTCGCAGCACCTGCATTCTACACAAGCTCCGCGGATGTCCCAACATATTATGATATAAGAGAACATTAGCCCTTGCTCTGAAAGAGAGGGGGGAGGGGTCGATGCGACTCCCCCTTAAGTTTCCGAGGACCTCCTCGGCATATCTTGCAATTGCGTCCAAGTTTTCCAGCGGCCCATCACGAATACATCGCACGTTGATACATTGTATATATATATATATATATATATATATATATATGTATATACACACATATATATATATATATATGTATATACACACATATATATATATATATATATATATATATATATATATATATATTGGAAATGTGTCAATACATTACAAAAGACAATAGTCACATAAGACAGTAGTAACAGCCAAGGCGATATATACCAGGTGAAACCATCCCGACTACCCACTTCTCAGCAAAGATCCCTATTTGATGTCACCGGGGGCACATGTTTAACGCTGGGACGGCCCCGTGCGTGGTAACGGACACGAGAGGTCACACGTATTAAACACGTTTGGTGGGCGGAATGATTCGTAAAGTCAAAGTTGATATGAATCAATGAAAAAAACTTGACGGTTAAGCCTTGTTTTGAAGGCATTTCAAGAACCAAAGCGGTAGTGCAGGATCCAGGTAGGAAGCTATGCTAGGACGATCCGTCGCGTTTTATGCCCAAAAGTGTTCGGCATTAAGGCTTATCTATGGCTTTGGAGTCACCAAATGGCCTCAAAACTGCACCCTCGGGTTACCAGTTTATTTCGTGCATCACAGCTGCCGCTCTGCGGGGTACCTACCCCAAGCGAATCCATGAGGCTTCTGAGCCCCAGTTGGCATTTTGAATAGGCCTCGGTTTGACAGATCGCCCGACGAAACAAAATAGTTGCATCGATGTAGCCTATGACGGTGTAGCGGAGCGAGAGCAGGCGTATCTCCCATCTTGCTGACTGAGATATCTTTGAGGAGCAGTCGGGTATACCAGCGCAAGAAGCTTATAAGGTGCCCCAAGCTCCTCGGTCGTGGCTCCCGACCAAGATCTGGCCAAGCACATTCGCGCGGCTCCATCTAACAGGGACAGTCGAGTCAATGCACACTGGGGCCTAGTCATTCACCAGAGCTATGCCCTGACGGTTGCTGGTTTCATGATGCAAGAGGTGCCGCTGGTTTGCTCCACCTTCGCCTGGCAAAGACTGGATAAGACTTGCTCGATCCCTAACGAAATGCAGCCTCAGAGCGATCACAATCCACGTTCAAAACCTTTTGGCTGTGCATAATGAATGCAGTGCATCAATTCACAACTGAATATGCGTCGTTGGTCAGCAGGCTCAAGTTCTAAGAATGTCGGCCGTACAATGTTACCTCGCTAACGCAGAAGCAGGATCGGATGCACTCCAGCGGGTCCATGGTCTCCACTGCCGGCTTCACCACCGGGAGTGCTACATGGATGATGCCAGCATTGAGCTGGAATTTGGGAGCCCCGCGTCCACCTTGATAGCGCGCTGATTAAAGGCAGGGGACGTTCATGACGTGCTGGGTGAATGCATAGGTCCTCCGGCAGATGGCGCGTAGTGCGATAGCATTGGCGACATCAAATCCCTCCATCGACCTTTGGTCAGTCGATGCCGGCTGAGTTGCTAAATTGAGTGAACGAGTTGCTGCCGGCTGAAAACGACCGCGGTCTGCATGTACTGCAGGTTCCGAATATTCCACAGGAGCTGGAACAGTGAGCAAGCCATCCCCGAAGCCAGTTTAGACGGTTGGTTCGGTGCTGGGCATGCGACTTCATCCGCCGAAAGTATGAGAGGCCCGCACTGTTCCACGGATCCCCAATCGATGCAGTGGCCCTCTGACTGGCCTTGGAGGTCACGGCCCAGCGGGCGGGGGCGTTCTTATTGCAACTTACCCTCTGCTCTCTGACCCTCTGATCCCATGGCCTCTTCAGCCTTCTTATCGGGCCCTTCATCTTTGGTCCAGAGGGGGTATTGGGCTCTTTTTGGTCTCCTCAAATAAAGCCCGTGCGGACTCGAGGACACTTGCCGACACCTAACCCACTGCTAGGCACCATGGACCCAGAACCGACACTGGAGCCCAATAATTGTTTCAAGCGCCCAGGACAACGCAAAGCATGGGGCCCCAGCCTTGTCCTCTCTTGGGAAATGGGATCTCAGGGCTCAGGCCGACGCGTAGCTAACTGTTTGTTATTGCAATGTCTCAGGAGCCCTCAAACGGCATAAGAGGCTTCCTGTCTAATATTCCAGGTCACAGTCCTACGGGCCGTGATTCTTAGTGTGGCCTACAGCCGGCCCTTCGGGCCCTTATGTTCTCCAAACGGGTTCTTGATTGTCGGTTTCGACGAACCACCGGGCCCGTCTTCGGACATCACTGAACACTGCTCTTGGTCGACTCATGACCCCTTGCCAACACAGGACCCTCTGGCAGGCACTGTAGGCCCCTGATAGATGCAGGGGCCCCAGCTTGGTCGCTGTTCGTTCTGAAAAGTGAGCCCTCATGCACATACCGACACGGCGCTGACTGTACGGTACTGGTGGTGCCAGACTCAGGTGCCAGTGCCAGTGCCACTGCCAGTGCCAATGCCAGACTCAGTGCCAGACTTTTATCGTCCCAGGGGTCCCCGAGCGGCGCGAAGGATCGGCCGACCGTCACCCGAGGGCCCGTCCCCGCAGTCCGGGTCCCTGAAGAAGACCTCGTCTGGCCCTTCGTGCCCATGGGCCCTCCGATCGGGTCCCTGATCGTCGGCCCGGTGGGCCCTCCTAGACCCTCGCAGGTCGTAGCCTAAGGAGGGGGAAAGGAGGGCTCGTGTCCTTCTACCACCTCCTCTTCTGCATGCAGCACTGGTGCTACATTTGGTTCAATTTACACATGGCATGATCTTCGACACTTAGACATCATAGAAAATGCAGTGTTTTCAAACATAAATATTCCTCTGTTTCCTCAATTCAAACCGCCAACCGGGGGCCAAGACACAAGCGATTTTTTTTTCTGCGGGCGGTGGGTTGGAGGGACAGACCCCCTCCAACTTCGGGCAACATTTAACATTTGATCGTTGAACAACAGCTCTTTGACGGTGCATGGAGGCGAACGAGGTACAAAATTGCCCTAAAAAGAAGGAGGCGAACGAGGTACAAATAATTGCCCTAAAAAATACAGATACAGATCAAGCCACCTCCCTCCCCCCCCCCCCCCCCCACCTCTCCATAAATATTCCAGCGCTACTGCTTTTTTCAGGGACAAAGATCGCACTATATCTACAACACACTGCATAATACATACCTGCCTTCGCCACCATGAAGTGATTGAAGACTCCAAATAGCATTCCCTACGATGTTTTCAATACTAAATGCAATTTTCACTCACTATCCAGCTCTGAACTGTCCTTGGATCCGTCAACTACCCTCGTGTCAGATAGCCTTGCTCAGCGGGGTGCGCTCCAGTACCTTAAGCATTACAAAAAGGTGTCATTGTTTCTAAGCCTCCGCTGTGAATTCGACGTCAAGCTAAGGCTATGATTGGTCAGAGGCTTTGGTGTCGTCACAACTTTAAACCCCGTGAAACCCGGTTCCATGGTGATGAGCCCCGCGACATCGGGGGAAAAGCTCGCACTTAACGTTGTTTTTTGCCTCGGTTGGTATTGCGCGAAATACCGACGCTGCAGAGATATCTGGCTAACCTAAAACGCAAAATTTTGATCACCCTCAGAATTGACGCTGGCAAACATCAGTGGAATCCAGTTGTCACTCTCCATACCTTTCACCTTTTATTTTAAGAGCTCATTTTGTTTTGACGGCTCATCTGACACAGGGTGTGAGGCTGTTTTATGACCCTGCAAATCAAAATTATCGAGGTAAGGCTTTGGATTTAACACCATAGTGGGCGTAAACACCGGAATCTGCCATCACTTGCTTACAAGTGTGGACTCAAATGAGTTTAACGAGATAATGTTTCTTGGCTGTTATTTAATGGATTACTGTAGGAATTGCTACTTTGTCAGTGATCTGTTATATGCCTGTTGTCAAGCATCATTTTTGATGGATGATAGATGTCATAGGATGTGGTAGGATATGAAAAATGACTTAACGCCACATTAGCTATCTCCTTACTGGTGCTGGTCATGCTGCCGGACGACGTGACCGTCCGTGCGTCACAGAAGGTCATCCGGCTGGCTTGATGTTCTTGAAGCTGGTCATGGCGCCGCGCGAAGTGACCGTCCGGTTCATCGTACGCGGCGAGGAATCTTGGCCGAGGGACGCGGCCCCGCTCCTGACGCTGCCCACCGCCGAAAGCCTG